AGCGCGAGAGAGACCCGAGCGAGCCCTGCGAGGCAGGGCCCAGGAGGGCGGGGCAGTTCGGCGGCGCGCGCGAATCGGTTGGCGCGAGGGCCTCCTCCTCCCTCCTCCTCCTTGGGCCCGCCTTCCGATAAGCCTGGGGGGGGCACGTTTCTGTAGGCGAGGGGGCTGCTCAGGAGCCCCCCCTTCTCGGCTGCTGAGAAGCCTTTCGTAGCAGCCCCTGGGCCCTCCCAACATCATCGAGGATGAGATATCCCAACCCTAATAACACGATGCAGACGTGGCCTGACGGAGGTCCCCGTCTTCGCATCAGGGATAACAATTCTGGGCGGTTTTGTTTGATACATGTTCAGAGAAGAGCACCGTATCCCTAGTGTTTTCGGCCCTCCTAACTTAGGTCCCCTCCCAAAGGGTTCGGGCTCTTTGGTTAATCACAACAAGGCCCCTGCCTTCTGAGAAGCACCCCGCATTCTTGGGAGACCCCCCCCCTTGCGCCATCACCTTGTGTTCCTGACGCCAAGCTCTGCAAACTAGGACTCCGCCAGATCCAGCGTGATAGCACGAATCTGGGAGGATGTCTCGACCCGCGGCTGCCGTCTTCTCGGGTGCGCCATTGCCCGGGTGTACCAATGCCCCTGTGTATTGTGGGGCCCTGAGGCGTGCCAGGGCACGGAGAGGGTGTATCCCCGCGGGGGTTGTTTTGTTATCCGTATCCGCCGATCCTGAGACGTTGCCCCTGCAAGGCACTTCCTCACACCCGACGCTCCGCGATGTCCCCGGGGGGGGCCCGCTGCACATTGGTGGTTCTCATGTTAGCCAGTGGCGTGTGCACTGGCCCGTGCCCAAAGCAGCCCGCCGCGGGTTCCCTCTGCAGGAGCGTCCTCGAAGTCGCAGGCTTAAGTCGGGCACGTCCCCTCTACATGAAGAGTATTCCCAAGTGGTAACATGTCAGTTTGGGGACGAAGTTTCGATTTGCCGTGCCTCTTTTTGAGTATGTGTGGCTCACGTATCGTTTGTCCTCCAAGATCCGCCTGCAGGAGGACGTGGCCGACCTAAGCCCAGGCCCAGTCCCCTTCTCTGGCACAGCTCGCCACCAGTTCGGGGAGTGGCGTTCGCTTGGTGGCTGTTATGGGAGGGAGCGGGTATGCGATGCGGGGGGAAGGCAGGAAGGGAAAGGGACGGGAAGTGAACATGATAGGCAGAGGGGCATGTTTTGATTTTGATCGAAGCCATCGTGGGGCTCCGCAAACGAGAGGGCCGTAATGGGGGGTCGACGCGAGGCGGCCTTGTGCCACTTGCAGTGTTCTCACTGGCCGTCTTAGCAAGCCAGGGCTTCGTAGTAGTAAGATGTCACCAGACGTCGTGGGAGTCGTCTCAGCCTTGGCTTCTCTACGGGTCTCGTTGTGCATCCTCTTTCTCGTTCCCATGGTTGCGTCCCTCTGCGGAGGGAGGGTCGTCCTTTTTCCCACGTTCGTCGTTTCCGCATATCTGACCCTAACTTGCTCTTGTGCCGTCGTGCCATGTCGAGTTCCCGCTGAGAAAGTCATGCTGCGAGGTATTCGGGTCCTCCTTGCCCCTGTGCAGTTCGAGTCCTGGTCCTGTGCCTCTCTGTGTGAAAGACTTGCAGGAAGCGGGGGGGACTCAGCCAGGTGCGTCATCGGGGGTTCGTGGAGTACTCGACCAAAGGGGGAAGCACTTTGCTGCAGCTGCGACAGGTTGACTCTGAGCTTGATGTGTTTTGTTGAAGGTGATGCAAAGATATTGTACGTGGGGTTGGTCGAAATGTCTCCTGGCGGAGCGTCGCGGCCCCGCGCGCAGCGACAGGGCGTCCAAAGGTCAGAGAAAGGGGAGCCAGCATACAACCAAGGATTCGATTGCCTCTCCTGGGAGGTTGGATTCAGCATCGGTGTTTGTATGTCCGTGTTAGACCACGACCGCCCGCCCAGTCTGGCATAGTTCCGTACAAGTCCGCACAAGCCCGCGGAATCCAATTTTAATTGGGTTCATTCCTTGGCTTAATTCGGTCCACTCTGGTAGAGTGCCCCCCTAATGTGGTTTGATGGTATTAGTCGTTCTTACGGAGACCTCCCAGGAATTGCCTCCCAACACAGAGGCCGGACTGGACGGTTGGCCATCGAGGAGGAGACCGCAAGGTGCTTGGCACGATCCGTGCTTTAAAGCAGTACAGGGCTTACCTCAAAGGTTGAACCCACGCCAGGGTGCGGCGGCATACCATCCAGCTGCAGCAGTGAAAGGTCTACGCGTTGGTACCGGCAGGAATTCGATTATAGAATCTTGGATTGCAGCGACCTGCCAGAGAAGAGGCCGGCGACGGACATGACCTCCCGCAGCAGAGCCGCCCCTTTACGCGAGTTGGCCGAGTGAGTGTCGGGCGCTTCCATTCCTGACGATCCACGTTCTGAAGGCAGTCTCTGTTCCAGCCGTGTGGCCGCTGGAAGCATCAGCATGGCCGTTGGAAGCATCGTGCCCCCCGAGTCTCCAAGCGCGACGCCCAGCCAGCCTCACCGACGCGCGTGCAGGAGGAGGGAGGGATCGAGGAGGGCCCACGCCTCTGGCGCTCCGATGCTTCCTCGACGCGTCGGGCCCCTGGCCCTCTCGGCCCCTCCGCTCTCATCCTGGGCAGCGTCTGTTCGGGGCCCTGGGCCCGACGGCTGGCCCACCCCGCGAGGTCCAAGGTGCGGTGCAGCCGTCGCTTGCTCGTTTCTGCTCAAGGCGTGGGAGGTCTGGGTCCGGATGGTCAGCCACGCGTAAAGAGGGGTGGCCGGAGGGGGGCAGGCGTCCTAGAAACGACACCCTGTCTTAGGAGGTGCGGGCGCCGTGTAAGAAGATGGTGGTTGCTTCTTGGAAGATGTTCTTGGCGTGCTTCTATGAAGCGGGTGGCTTGCTTCAACGAGGCTGTTTATGCTTCTAAAATCTAAGAATGTGTTCCGTGTTTCTAAGGAGCTGCGAGGGTGCTTCTAAGGAGCGGCGTGGCCCTGGCTTCTTTCAAGGGCGGCCGCTTTCTAAGAGACAACCTCCTTCTAAGAAGCCGTTCCCCCTCCCTCTACCCCGTTGTGCGCGCCGCCTAAATGAGGAGGACGAGGAGGAGGTGGGCACTCTTGCGTTTTCATCCGTCGCTGGGGATCTACTTCCTTCGGGCGCGTAGCGGTTGTTACCCCTGCCAGCCCTTCCCCTCCCCCCCAGGTAACGGTAACGATCATGCGTGGTGGGGGGATGGACCACCCACCATGCTAGTGCTAGCGCGCGTAATATGGCGATCGCAGCATACCCCTCCCCGCCGTGCCCGACCCCGCCTAGGCGTGACAGATACTTGGCTCCCCCCTTCCCCCAGGTAATGACCGTTACCCAGAATCATGTCTATCCTCGCGAAGGACCCGACCATGTAAAATTGTGGTTGCCGCGGTTGTGCATACCGTCTTCGGTGGAGCTCGCTATGAGGCCACGAAGCGTAAGCGTGTGAGGGGTGTGCAGACATGAGCCCGGCGGTGCCATGCGGGCGCAGCCACTGGGGCTTTCGGTGGAGCTCCGCATGGGCCCCGAAACGTGTGACGGGTATGCCGACATGGGCGCGGCGGTGCTATGCGAGCGCTGCCGCTTGGGTTTTTGGTGGAACTCCCTGTGGGGCCACGAAACGTGTGAAGGGTGTGCCGAGCGGGGTGCGGTGGTGCCATGCGCGCGTTGCCACTGGGGCCTTCGGCGGAGCTCCCTATGGCGCCACGAAGCGTGTGAGGGTTGTGCCGAACTAGGTGCGGTGGTGCAAGGCGGGTGCAGCCAGTGGGGCCTTCGGTGGAATTTCCGAAGCGTGTGAAGGGTGTGCCGAACTGGGTGCGATGGTGCCTTGCAGGCGCAGCCATTGGGGCTTTCGTTGGGTTCCCTGTGGGGCCACGACATGTGTGAGGGGTGTTCCGGACTTGGTGCTGTGTCGCCATGCGTGCGCAGCCATCGGGGCCACCAGTGGAGTTTCCTATGGCGCCACGAAGCGTGTGAAGGGTGTGCCGGAACAGAGACATGCGGCGGGCAACGGCAACGATGGTAGGATGGGATGAGGGAGGAGGGGGAGGAGGGGGAGGAGGAAGGAGTGAGGCGCGGGGTGCTGTCTCTTCAAAACGAGGACCCAACACCACGGGAGGGTTGGGACCAAATTGAATCACCCACCGTGTCGTCGTCCGTCGTGGCCGTCGTATCGTTCGCCTCCTTGCCGCCACTCCCGAGTCGCTTCAGCTTGCGAAGGCCGCCTGCCTGGGAGGGTCAGGGCTGCGTTTCGAGGCGACTCCTCTGGCTGGTCGCCCCCGAACGGTGTGGCGACCACACAGTATGGTGAGTCCGTGGGGATTCGGGGTCACCGCACGGTTTGGGGGCTCGGGTCGTTCTCCGAGGACGGCGCGAGCGGCTGGGGGCCTCCAAGGTCCCAAATCCGTGCGGTGAGGTCTGCTGGCATCTCGAGGTCATCGCACGGTCTGTCACCGCATCGTTCTTGGATCGCCAAGAGGGGACCTTCTCTCCAGAGTCCCAAGGCCGTTTGGTGAGGTCCTTCGGAGCTCCGAGGTCACTGCACGGTTTGTCACCGTACGGTTTTGGATCCCCCAAGTTGTCCTCTGTCCTGAGCTCTAAGCCCTCCTGCTTGGGAGGGGTCGGAGGGCGCTGTCGAAGAATGACAAACTGCATCAACATACATTGTCCGAGCTCCGTACGGATTTCTTTTATCCGCGCTGGACATACATGCATGTTTCCTGGCGTGGAGCGCGCCAGGGGGCGTCGCCGCCAGGGGTCCAGCGCAGATCCAAGATATCCGCGCGGAGCCCCGACAGTTTATGTTTACGCCCACCTTTCTTGTATGCCGACACCGATCTTGGGCCCACTGTTGGCCTGGCCTGCATCGGTGCAGATGTGCAGTTGGCGGCTCACGAAGGGGCGGTGTGCCCGGGCCATCGCCATGCCGTGCGGACGACGACGGTTCAGCCTCGACCGGCCGCACTCCACAGGAGACCTCGAGAACGACGTGGACACGCCCGCGGAGCCGGCCTGGAAGGCGACGGCGGACGGGGGAAAGCGGATCCAGTTTGGAGTTGGCTGGGGGGCTGACGTGGCCCGGCTGTGATTCTGGCCAGGAGGGGACCGATTCCGACAGAGTTTGCCCACATCCCCCCCCCCCCCCTCTTGACATCTTTTCCATTGGCTTACCCAGCTCGGACCACCCCTGCCCGCCTCCAAGATTCAGGCCCCGTCGCGTCGTAACGAAAACTCGCTGCGGAAGGTCTGGGCCGCTTTCGGCCCCCAGGGGCCCTCACAGGCCCTGGGGCCGTCAACGGCGGGACGAACAGCCTTCCAGGGAAGGCGTTCGGGACTTCTGGGAGCCACGCCTTCAGACAAAAACAGCGCCTCGGATCTTTGGGAAAGACCACAACTCTAGCCCTTCCTCCCAGCCCAGCCCCGCTCAGAATCGGTCCAGCCTCATCCGTTGTTCGAGGCGGATCCAGCTACGGCGAGAAGAAGCCTCTATGAGCCGAGAGGCACCTTAGAGACGAAACCTGAAAGCAGGGCCGCCGTGGAGTCTCGACGTGACCTCCAAGAAGCGAGGAGGGAATGGAGGGAGGGGAGAGGGACAAACTAGGTGCGCTCACATCATGTCTGACGTCCTACTCCTCCCTCTCATCCCTTACCATGGCGTAGATATCCTCTCTATTCGCTCAGTCGGATGTCGTAGCATGGCCTAACATCACATGGCATAGCATGGGCTTGAAGATCAACGCGTAGCATGACATAGCATGGCGTTGCGACGCCCCAAAGTGGGGGAGGGGGGCTTCTGCGGCCCAACACATCAACGAATTGGCACCGACTGTGTAATTACTTCCGATGGTTTTTTCGGAGGGCAATTTCTAGATTTTGGGGCTTATCTGGAAGGACCGAAAACCATACCGTGGCATGGCATTGGAAATGATGACGCCAGCGCTGCAGCGAGAGTATGATTCAGAACGAGCAGAAGCGCGGAAATGGGGCCAGCGCTGCAGATGGAGCTCGATTCGGGACGAGCGGACGCGCGGGAATGAGGCCAGCGCTGCAGCGGGAGCACGATTCGGAAAAGCCCGAAAATGAAGCCAGCGCTTCAGCGGACGCAGCATTTTGAAAGAAACTAAGCAAAAGCCCAATTCCCGGGAATCCTGTTTGTAAAGGAACAGTACGCGGAGGGGGCCCGACATGTTCTGGACGTCATCGAGGGAAGGGAGGGAGGAGAAGTATTCATGTGTTGTAACTGTACAGCGACGAAGAAGCCTAACCCGACGACATGGGAGGAAGAGTGAAGAGCGGGCACGGTCGGCACAGGTATCACTTTTTAGTATGCCCCTCGTCTGAGCGGCCGTCCAGGCCAACCAGATCGCGACACCCAGCCCCCTTGCAGCGGTGGTTGCCTGATCGAGAATTTACAACACGTGCGCGTAAGCGTTCGGAGGGTCGCGTGGTTTTCGCGCATCGGCGCTAGACCCTCCCCGAAGACAGACAATCTAACAGAAGGCGCGGGGGTTTTGAGAAGTCCCGCCGCCTTTGAGAAGGCCCCTTCTCCTTCTCACTTCCCCTCCTCGCTCGCCGCCGATCTTCAGCCTTGGGAGGAGGTGGACGTCCGGCAGGATGAGGAGTAGCGGCAGGAAGCGACGGAGGACCCGTGTGGCGTATGGGGAGTGCATGGGGGCGCGCGCAGGAACAGTTTGCACATCGTGTCTGCTCCCACTGCAGGGCTGACATCCCCAGAGCATACCGACGGCACCTGCTGGTATCTTTGGCGTGCTTTACTCTGCGCCCGTCGGGGTCGTCGAGCTCCGGCTGGTGAACGGCTGTTTGGGCAATCCTGGAGCATGGTGAGGTGCTGAATGTTTCAAGGGTCAGTTTGCAAGAAAACGCATGTTCCCACGTCCGCATATATATATATATATATGAAGTAGGACAGGGTAAGCGCAGGTACGACTTTGACCGTCCTCAATCAGATCGAGGTTTCTGCACGACTGTCGGTGGAGTCGGCACGACCTGGTTCAAGTTGGCGCGTCTCGCGCGCCTGCAGTCATGAGCCTTTCAATGCTTTTTCGCGCCACGGTTGCAGTGCTCGTGGACTCCGTGCTCGTGCTGTGGCAGCAGGTGTGATCGTCGATCCAGTGCGCTAGTCTGACTGTCGCCGTTGGGTGCAGACAGCGAGTGCACAGGCTGGGCCGTGTGCTCCAGGTGCGCCTCGTGGAGGAGGCCACAGGGAGGGCGCTCGCGAGGAGCAGATGGGTTGTACTGGCCGAGCGCCTGCGGCTGATGGGGTGAGCACCGGCCCGCCTGAGACCTCGACAGCGGACACGAGGAGGAGACGGAGGAGAGGGGGGAGGAGAATGAGGATGGGGATGAGGAGAGCGACGACGTGGACGAGGTCGGCGACGAGGACGACAACGACGACGACCATGTTGGGAACATATGCTATGACTTGCTGAGTTTACCTTTATTTATTTCTCCCCTCACTGGCAATTCACCAACTTGACGGACTGGCAACAAGTTCTTGGGCGAGAACCCCGTTCCCGAGTTTGGGGGCCTCTTGGGGCCAGGGCGTTCCCGAGTAAGCTGGAAGGAACCCACGAGCGGGAGCCGTTCTCGTCGTAGTTGAGCCATCGCCACTTGCGGAAGTATCGTGCGGGAGCTGTGGGAGCCTCGGTGTCAAAGAGCATGCGGCTGGCGTCGAGGCGAGAGCGCCAAGGGCCACTTCCATGTACTAACCTTACTTACTCGAGAGGCTTACGCCATTCCGCCGACCCCGTTAACAGTGACTTCGTCAAGAGTCGTGGCGCCGTGCCTTGCCTGTGAGTCAGGATCCTCGGGGATACCCATGAGTGTCTCCTGGAATGCCTCTCCCGGGCCTCTTGGAGGGATTTTGGGGGCTTCTCGGGGGCCCCTTGGTTACCTCTTGGGTGCCTCTTGGAAGCCTCTTGGGCCCTTTTAAGGTGCCTCGTGGGTCACGCCTTCAGAACCAAACCACCGCTCCAGCGGGAGATTCGGTTTCAAAGAACATGCGGCTGGCGTCGTGGCGAGAGCGCGAGGGGCCGCTTTCACGTATAAGCGGTCAGGGCTCCAGGAAAACAGTGTTTTTGCGATTTCGTGGACCGTTCTCGGTTTGATTTTGTTTCGCAGCAGAGGCAGAACGGAGACGGAGAGGGAACACGACAGCAATATGAACACGAAGACCTCTGCTTAGCTCGATCCCTCGCAACAGCCTTCTGTTCCAAAAGACCCTCTCTGGAGGTCCCCGGAGGCTTCGAGAGGCCTCGTGATGCCCAACAAGCGGATCAAACACATCCGAAGACCTCGATCCCCGATTTCCGATGACGACGATGACGCCGCCGACGACCCAGACCCCCGACTTCATGATCTGTCCATGACGTCGGCCTCCGGGTGTCTCGATGTCTCGACCCACTCCCCTGGACCGGGTTTTCACCCCGAGTCGTTTTCACATGGTCTCGGGGCCTGGCGTATGCCCCCAGAGGCCAAAACTACTCAAACATCATCCGTCGCGAGGGGATTTGGACACGACGACGACGACGACGACGACGACGACGACGACGACGACGACGACGACGACGGCACGCCTCCCAGCCAGCACCGCGTTTCGGTTGCAACTCTTGGGAGGTCTATTTCGGCGTCGGCGCTTAGTAGATCCGTGGTCAAAGACCAGCCGAGTCTGGCATGGGCCAGCTTATAATATTTGGTTGCATGCCGCATCAAACCCGCTAGATCTGGCGCGCAATCTGGCCTGTTGGCCTCTGCATCGGGCTTAAGACCTCCCCGAAGGAGGAAGGAGGAGGAGGAGGAGGAGGAGGATCAGGAGGAGGGAGGAGGAGGAGGACTAGGAGGAGGAGGAGGAGGAGGAGGAGGAGGAGGAGGAGGAGGAGGAGGAGTTGCGTCCCCACCAGCGGCGGCAGGCGCAGCTCGAGAAGGGCCTCGAGCGCCTGCGGCACTGCGAGGCCGTGGGCGCTGCGCTGCGCGCGGCGGTGCACCCGTCGTTCGAGGCGGCGACGGACGACCTGCGGGAGCTCGGCCCGGAGCAGGCCTCGCGGGGGCGAGGCTCGGGGATGGTGAGCTCTTATCGACTAGACGTAAGAGTGCCCTTTCGCCGGAGTGACCTTTGGTGCGGGCACGGATTGGTCTCCAGATGGCTGAAAACGAGGCAGTAGCAGCTGCTTGCGCGCCCAGGTTTGGACCCCCGCGGCCCCCCAGAAGTCGCGCACCAAAGGTCACTCTTACCCAGGGTCACTCTTGCGTGTAGCCGATCTTAGATCGTGACGATGCCACTTTTCACGCTGGGCACGTTCGCTCGGCTACTGGTCCTGGGACCACCGCAGATCGATCCGGCTCGAGGCGTCCCGCGGCAAGAAGCGGGGTCTGAGGCTGAGGCTATGGTCGTTTCACGTTCCCCCCCAGCCCAGAGAAGGCCCCCCTGGGCCATGACGCAAAATCGCAAGATGAAAGACCGGTGCCGAGGAAGGGTCGAGACTTCGGGGTTTTCACGTCATGGAAAGATCACGACGTCGGGGGTCTGGGGCCTGGGCTCCTAATGGCTCGGGGTGCGCACAGACAGCCCCCCTCCCCCCAGGTAGTTCAAGCTGGCCTCAACAGGCCCCCCGACCAGTCCAGGGCTCGTCTCAACAGGCCGCCCAGGGGGCCCAAACCTTTTCAGGTGCTTTACCGCTCTCGGCTTGCAGGGCTGTCGCCGGGCCCCGGGACCATCAAAAAATGAGAAATTGGTCCCAGGGAATGGGTCGAGACTTCTGGGGGTCGACGCCATGAAACAATCACGTCACGACGTGGTCGCTGTTTATTACCCAGTGGTCGTCGTTTTCTTATTCATTGTTTTGCCGATCGGCGCGGGCCCTCGCCCCCCCCCTTGCCCCCCCCATGGAGTAGATCTTGGCTGTTTTTGGCGCCTGTTTCGAGCAGGTGGAGTCTCCCCCACAGGACGCACTGCCTGCAAAGAGTCGCACTAAGCAGAGGCCCGGAGCCAGATCCCCCCCCCTCCCCCCTTCCCGCCCAGTGTCGAAACGCCGAATGAGAACACGCTCACTTGTTTCGCCCGCCGACGCGGGCCCCTGGCCTCCCCCCTCCCCGCCCTCCACAGAGCAGATCCCGGCTGCTCCTGGCGACTGTTCACGACCCCTTCCCCCCCATCTGCCAGCGCGACTTGTCAAAGCAGATCGGCGAAGCACCGGCCCAGCCCCGGACCCCCCCCACCTTCCCCACCTCTTGGCCCAACCTCGAAAGCCAGTACGTATAAGAAAGCGCCTGCGTGAGGGGTCTGGGAACGGTGTGGTGTCCACACCGTGTGGTGAGTGTGTGAGGAGTTTGGGTTGCCGCCCGGTTTTGGGACTCGGGCCGTTCGCCGATGAGATGTCTCGGGCGACTGGGGTCTCCAAGAGGTCCCGACGCCGTGCGGTGAGATCTCCTGGGATTGCACCGCGCGGCCTGTCACCGCATCGCGTGGGGGCCCTCAAGACAGGGGCCTCCTCTCCGAGGAGAACGGTGCCGTCACGGCTGGCTTTGGTTTCTCGCTCTCGCCGTTTTGGGTGCCTTTTGGGGGTGCCCCCGCCCCCGTCGCCTCGGCTGGATTCGCTGGGAGAGGTCTGGGGAGTGCAGTGGACGCCCATGCCAAGAAACACACTGCTTGCCTCCAGGGTGCCCTGGGTTCCTTGTGCTTCGATGGTCCTCCTTAGGGAAACGTGATGTCCCCACACGAACAAGCAATGGACGTCCTGGGGTCTCAAGGTTGGGTTTCTTGTGGAAGGTTTCTTGTGGTCGAGCTCCTACTGTAGCGGTATCGCTACCTTTGTGCCCCCGTCATCTCCACGAAGGGCAGTTATCGAAGACGCTTGCGGCGAATCACCGCGCCCCCTGCCCTTGTGGAAGCGCCTATGTGTCCGACAGCTGGGCTAGAGCTTGGCCAAGCTATCTGACCATGTGTTACCCGAGTCGGGACCCCGGCGGGACGCGCCGGAGGCCCAGGGGGGATCTCTTCTGGAAGAGAACCGGGACCAAAACCGAGAGGATCCAGCACGCCAGGCACCCCTGTGATGCATCGGCAGGAGGCGGCGGGTCCAGCTGCCCGGGGCCAGCTGCCCGCGGCAAGTGCCGCCACCGTGCCAGCGCGGCACTCTGCGTGGCCGGCGGCTCGGGCACAGACTGGCGGCGACACGCGGCACCTCCCGCGTCTGGTGCGTGAGGGGCCCTCGCGGGGGGGAGATGCCCGGGTCGTGTCGGGGCTGCCTTGGGCTACCGTAGGCTCTTGGGGCTCTTGTTGAAGCCGTCCCTTGGCTGTCCTGGGCCGTCTTTGGCCTTTCTCGGCCGTCTGGGGGGGTCTCGTGGAGCTGTCTTGGGAGCTGTCTTGGGGCCTCCCGGGCCATCTGGGGGCCCTCTTGGACTGTCTTGGGCCGGCGTAGACCGTCTTGGGGACCTCTTGGGGCCATCCTGGCTTGTTTGGGGGGCGTGTCAAGGCTCTCGCTCGGCTCTTGTAGCCTCTCTTGGGCTCCTCCGAATTACTCTTGGAACCATCATGGGAGTCGAGACGCCCAGGGAACGCAACATCATGGACGACGGAAAGCGTTGCGCGATTTCAGTTTGGGAATAAAGAGAAGCGGGGGATTTTGAGGGGGAGAGCCGCTCGCCGTTTCCGAGCCACTATCCTTGCGCATTCGAAATATTTTGTGGAAGCGGCAGGTCCAAGCGAGACATTATCCCAGGCCAGAGGCGTTGACACATCTTACATTTCGAAGAAACTGAAGTTTTAAGCATGTCTGTCTGGCAGGGAGTGTCCGAGATGGCTCAAGAGGGCTCCAAGAGGCTCTCCAAAGGGCCAAAACAGAGTCGCGACAGGCTCATGGCCCAGGATTCCTTCCGTAGCCATTTGAACTCAAGGCTCAAGCAGCGCGCCGGCAAGGCGCTAGCAAATCATTCCCAGTTTCTCCAACAATGTATTACATGTGCCCGCATATATTAAGCACATACACATCATCATCGGTAGGTGCCGTTCCGTGGCTGGCATGCGCCGCCTTCCTCTCATTAGTATTCCTTGCCAGTGGCATGCCGCTGCCCGTTGTGGTGCAGGCGATCTTCTGAGTGGCACGGTCCTTTGTGTTGGTCTGCATAGTCGTCTGCAGCTCCTGTTCTCGATCTCGTTCATGTAGTTAGATCGTTATATGTTGTTGGTGAATCTTGGAGTGCCCGTAGTAGTCCTCCATGGTCCTCTTGGTATTGTCGATCTCCCTCGCCTGCATGGCCAGGGGTATGCTTTGAGGACCATCGCTTCGAGGAAAGCGATCTGTGTGTCAGCGTCGATAGTAGGTAAGCCTGCTGCCCTGTATTTGACGATGACAGCTGTCGCTCTTTTCTCCTCGGAGTGCTTAATATTCTTCCATTCGTCCCTCAGCTTGTGGTCGTTGGGAGGCAGCTCCCAGTCGTGCCTCTTGACGGCGTCGATGTTCATCATGGGCATGACGTTGTTGATCGTGTTGGTGATGTGCTCGTTGTAGTTGCTGTTGCAATTCTGGCCGTCGTCTTTCTTCTTGGGCGTCTTTTCCTTTTCGGGTTGGGTCTTGCCCTTTCCGATGTTGTTCTTGCCATTGCCCTTCTGGCTGTTGCTGGCTGGATCCGGGTGGTCGTTCCTCCCTTGCCGTCCTGGTAGTTGCCTTTCCCGTTGAGGTTCTGTCTCCTGGACTTTTCGGGGTGATTGTCGGCCCTTTGGTCCATCCAGCTTTGGTTCTTTCAGATTTCGAGTCTTGCACCGGTGGCTGATGTAGCGGGCCTCGGTGTTGTAGCTCTGGATCGTGGGCGGCTCGATGCTGGTCTCCACGGTGGTTGTGCCGATGCCGATCCGCTCGCGGTTGCTCCCCATGATGTCGCCATTGTTGGAGCTGGAGGTGGATGCCGAGGTGGTTGCTGGGCGCTGTGGTGCGTGGCGAGGAGCTGGCGCGCTGTGTAGAGCTGCTGTTGGATGTCGTGGTCAAAGAGTTCTCGTGCAGCGGCGACTCGTAGCAGTGCTCGTGCTTGAGCTCGCTGTTCGCGCACCCGACGGTGCCACGCTGGATTAACCGACGAAGTCGTGGTGTCCTGAGGGGAAGAGGATGTAGTCGAAAAGGAATGTAAAGGTATGGTTTGGAAATTGATGTAACAGTAGATGGTACATGGACCGTTTGACAGTCGAGGCTGGCCACCTAGGGCTGGCACGTTGCCGCGGGTTTCTGGGTCCTCCTCCTCCTCCTCCTCCTCCTCGTGGCCTCGGCGCTACGGCCCTGGAGGGACGCGACCCAGGCCTGCGCAGTGGACAGCTGCGGGCACGCGCCGCCCGCGACGCCTCGGCTCACATGGGGTGCTGCGCCTGCGATGTGCCATTGGGATACCCGTCGTCGGGGCGCATAAACAGGCCTCATTTCGATTCCTCCGATCCGATTCGATGTTCGATTTCGATGGATTCCGATTCCGATCCGATTCGGCTTCGGATTCCGATCTGAGATCCGATTTCTCCATGGAGGCCTGCTGGCCTGTGGGTGTCTGCCGATTCTACTTTTCCCGACTCGGCCCACCATTTCCGTCGATCCGATTCATGACGACTTCCGCTCCGACCTGTCGATTCGATTCTTGGGCTCCCCTTGCACACAGAGTAGCAGGCTCCTCGGGGCCTCGGCAGAGTGGGGCGAGGGGCCTTGTCGCGCCGCAGTCTGCCAGTGCCCCCCCCCCCCAAGCGCTACAGAGGCTGGGCTTCCCCGTGCGGGAGCTCTGGGGGCGGGCCCGGCGCTGGGCCAGGGACTGGCATGCGACCTGCGCCGCCAGGGTGTGGCAGGCCCGAGCTCTTCATGACGTCTCGTCGTGGGCGCGAGACTCTGGTGCTCGCCCAGTGTTCAATTTGCGTGCTGCAGTCGCGGACGCGACGGCGCTTCTTCTGATGTCCTCACATTGTTTCTTTACTGCAAGCATGTTGGAACTTATATGTTGATCAATTTCTGATACATTGCGCAATTCGTTTTGGAACTCATACATGAAATGGCCCAGGTTCGAGTGCGTAGAGCTGAACGCCCACAGATAATTCAGCTTGGTTTCAAGATCGACATCTGGATCCCCCCAGAGTGATACAGAAGGGACGAGGGAAGGAGGAGTGTACGTACACACACATATATAGATACATAAGTACAAGGGGGGGGGCTTTGGATATTGTTCATGCTTGTAGAGTTTTCAGGTAACTATGTCAGGGTTTTCAGGGTTTCTGGGGTGTTGATGGTGTTTAGGGCGTTCAGGTTTCTCATTACTTGTTTGTCTAAGTTGTTGAAGGTGTTTAGGGTGTTCGTGGTAGTGTCTTATTGCATCCAACTCGCAATTGAACCCGCTTTCATTTAAAAATCATTGTTATCTATGGTTTCATTACATGCGTTCAAGGATTATTGAATCGCTTTGCTCATTCCGCCGGCCCGTAATATGGCATCGCTGGTTTTTGTCTGTGTGTTCGTTGCCCATGTTGCGCTCTTGGGGGCGGGTGTCGTTCGGACGCGTTGCGTGGGGAGTTTTGATGGTGAAGCAGTTCCCTGGGGGTCGTCTCTCGATGGGGCGAAATAGAGTCGTCGTCAAGATGCTTCTTTGGGGGGCCTCTTGGGGTCTGTTGAGAGGCCGTTCGGGGGCGCCTGGGAGACATGTTTGAAGCCTTCTGGGGCTTCTTTTGGGCCTCCTGGGAGTCTCCTGGGGCCTCTTGGCGACATCTTGGGGCCTCTTGGAGGCCTCTTGGGGCCTCTTTGGGACCTCCTGGGCGCCTTCTGGGACGGAGGGCTCCATTTTTGAGTTCTCGGTATCCCTCCTGAGTCCCTCTTGGGCCCGTCTTGGGGCCTCTTGGTCCGTCTTGGGCGGCACTTGGGCCGTCTTGAGGGCTCTCTTGGGTCGTTTCGGCGCCGTCTTGGGAGCTTCGTGGGCCGTCTTGGAGCGGTCTTGGGGGCCTCTTGGGCCGTCTTGGAGCGTCCGGAAGCCGAAAAAGCCAGAACACAAAAAACATAGAAAAAACAATGAAAATCAACGATTTTGGCCTCTTGGGGCTCCCTTCGGAGGCCTCTTGGAAGGCTCTTGGGGCGTCTTGGAGGCCTCTTGGGCTGTCTTGGGGGCCTTTTGGGCCGTCTTGGGGTCATCTTCGGCGTCTTCGAGCGCTCTTTGGCGTCTCGGGGGCCTCTTGGGCAGTCTTGGGGGCCTCTTGGGGCACTCTGAGCGCGCTCTGGGGAGCCTGAGAGGCCGCACCCAGAAGGAAAACCATCTCTGAGTAGACTTGGTCGGGCGGCGGTCGGGCGGCGGTCGGGCGGCGACCGGGCGTTGGTCGGGGTACTTTTCGCCGGGGGACCCCCAGGGGCCGCCCCGCGCGCGCGAACTAGAAATACTGTTAATACTGTTAACCAGTTACCGGAGATCTTAGCACGCCCTGGCCCGTTGGGCCGGCGAATTAGTCATGTTTCAACACATGTTTATACTGAGCGACGGCTGGGTATGACATATGTCCGAAGAGGAGGCGAGGGAGGAGCTTGAGAGACACGTTTGGCGGATATTTCCAGGAGCGATGGCCACTTCCCCCGCATGATACATCCGAGAAGGCGATGAAAAAAGGAACAACGGGACGAGGGATGACATTGATACGCTGGGCGCGTGAGATGCGCGGGCACACATCCGAGACGAGAGTGTGAGATGACGGTGCAGTCTTGATCTGGCTTGGCGATCGTGCGTAGCATAGGCTGGGTGAGGGATGTGGAGGTCAAAGCTCTGCGCGATGAGCTTCTCAAGCTCGAGAAGGTTTCCAACGTCGCCAAGGCTTTGGCTGTCTTGAAGGAGGGTGCCCCCAAACCAAACCAGTGCGAACAATCCTGTCATGCCGTCAATTGCAGCAGTGAGGGGATGGGAAAACATCGAGGGAGAGAGGAAGGAGGTTCCCGCCTTTCTCTTCATCGTGCCTCGTTCGTCCCCCGCTGGCATCCGCCACCGTCCCAGTCTCCCTCCCCCTCCTCCTCCCCTCCTGCTCCCCTCCCTCCCTCCTCCTCCTCCTCCTCCTCATCCCCCCCCTCCTCTTCCCCCGTCCCTCCTCCTGCCGGTGCCTCTCTGACTCGTCAGTTGGCTACCTTCTCCATTCAGTACCAGTGCACCTGCAGCAGTCGGCTCTGGCGCGTCGCGCTCGAGCCTGCCCGCTTGGCCCTGAAGGGGTTTGCGGTGGCATCCTGCCGAGGTGTGTGCCAACGGAAAACGCTCGAGTCCTCCGTCGGGGAGGGTCGCGGGCGACAAACATATCCGTACCCGCGGCCTCGCGGGCTTGGCCCCTGGTCCGCGACCCCGCAGATTCTGGGCGTGTTTTCGCGGATGCCCCGCGCGAGATGTCTAATTGTGTGCGGTCGGGTATCCGCCGGATCACTCCTCGGAATCCAGACCGCGAGGGCGCGGATACGGATATTTCCGCCGCTCGTCGGAGGGGGTCCAGGGAGGAATCGACTTCCTCCCCTCCCTCTCGGGCCGGACGAAAGGGAGGGTTACGACATCCTCTTCATGCAGCTGGTTTCCGCCCCGCCGCCGGGCCCGTTCCTCGATGCGTGGGCGCCTCCCAGCGCCAGGAGCTTGCAGGAAATCCAGCTGTGTGAGCGGATGTTCTTCACTACCCCTTGCTGTCCTGCCCTCTCGTTCCCCCCGCGCCTCCCCTCCCCGACCCCCCCCCCTCCGCCTCCGGGGCGCCCACGACGTGAGGAGCGGATCGGGTCCGCTCCGTCCGTGCGAGAGCGGGGTCTCCTGCGCAGGCTCTCGAGCAGCGCGCGCCCGCGGAGCTGGGGGCACGACGCGAGGAGGGGAGAGGGCACGAGGAGGGGCGGGGCCCGAGGAGGGGACAGGGGGGGGCGGGCACGAGGAGGGGAGGGGACACGAGGACGGGAGGAGGGACGAGGACGGGGGGGGGGGGGGGCACGAGGAAGGGGGAGGCGGCACGCTGGCCACCCTTCACCGCGGCGTGCCCCCCCCCCCTCCCATTGTTCTTCCCGCGAACGGGGGCCTCGGAGGCCGTGGCCCCGCGGCGGCTGCAGCCTGGTTGTTGCCGGCGCCGCCCGCCCTTTGTTGTCCGCAGCTTTGCTCTTCCTGGTCGCTTCGGTGAGGCGGAAGTCAGGCAGGGGTGGAGGGTGACCACCTCCAAGGTGTGAGTGGGCCCGCGCGGTGGCGGCCCGCGGTGTTGTTTGGGCCACTTCAGGCACTCACTAGCGTTCCCACGGGGCGAAGCGAAGCGAGGAGAGATGATGTGGAAGCGTGAGGAAGAATCTGGGAGGGCAGGGATGGGGATCAGTATCGGTATCAGGATCAATATGAGGAGGCGGAGAGGAAATGCTAATGGTGGTGAAAATGGTGATGCTGCTGAAGATGCTCATCCCGATGACGGGCGATAGTGATGATGCCGATGATGATGGTGATGCGGCCGATGACAATTACAGTGATGATGATGCTGATGATGTGGGTGCTGCTGTTGATGATGATGATGATGATGCTGCTGGCGATGGTAATGCTGATTGATGGTGATGGGGATGTTGATGATGATCATGATGATGATGCGGGTGGCAAGTTTGATGACGGTGACGAGGAGGTGGTGGTAATGGTGGTGGCAGTGACGATGTTGATGAGCATGATGATGTTGATGTTGCTGATGATGATGATGACGAGGGTGAGGATGCGGATGAGGACGAGGCGGACGATGCTGTTTATGCGCCTGTTGTTGATAGTGGTGGCGCTGAGGATGATGGGGCGGTGATGACGATGATGATGTTGTTGATAATGCCGCTGGTGATGATATTGATGATTCGGTTGATTTTGATGTTGCCGTTAATAATGATTCTGATGTTGTCTCATGATGCTGATGCTGTTGGTTATGATGCTGGTGGTGGTGATGGTGATCATACGGACTGTGATGACGACGATGTTGGTCATGATGATGATGATGAGGATGAGGATGGTGATGATGATGATGATAATGATGATGATGATGTTCACTACGATGGCGATGGTGACGATGATGGTGGTAATGTTCATGACGCTGGTGATGGTCACGATGATGATTGCGATGCTGACGATGACCCTGGTGACAATGACGGCGGTTTGCGAAGTTATTGATGACGATTTGGATAACGCTGGTGATTGCGATGTTGCGAGTGATGATAGTAATGGTGGCAATGCTGGTGGCGAGAATTGTGAAGATATTGATGGTGGTGATGATGACCACGGTAAAGCTGACGAGGAGGAGAGAAATGATCCCGATGTGGGGGATGCGAATGATGACGATGATGATGATGATGATGATGACGATGATGATGATGATGATGATGATGATGATGATGATGATGATGATGACGCTGGTGATGATGATGATGATGATGATGATGATGAGTATGCGGGTAGGATGACTCTGATTCTGCCAATGATGTGTATGAGGATGGTGAGAAGAAGTTCGTAATGGTGATTGTGGTTGTGATGGTGATGGTGATGGTGACGTTTGTGATGGTGATGATGATCAGGAGGCGCGGGATAATGAGAATGATACGTGGTTGGCTGTTGAAAGGCACGATGAATGGACGCGGGAGGATGTGGAGGACGAGGGGTGGGAGGAGGACATTGACCAAGAAACCTGAAATGCGGGGTGGGGGACGATGGAGAGGAGCAGGGGGGAAGCATGGTGCCAGGGAGGCGGATGAGGTGGGGGACGGGTACAGGGAGGATGGGGCGTACGTGGCATGAGGGCCCAGTGTGGTCAGGAACGAGAGGAAGACGGGGCGGCAGCAGAGGAAGTGGCTGCAGGTGACGACGCTGGTTACCACGGTGATCGTGGTGATGCTGGTGGTGGTGACAACGATGACGGTGGTCGTGACGATGATGGTGATGGTGGTGGCAGTGATTCTGATGATGGTGGGGGTCATTATTGTGGTGTTGACGTGGATGAGAATGATGATGTGGATGCGGATGATGAGAATGCTGATGGTGATAGTGATGGCGATGGTGATGATGGTGATGTTGGGTATGATGACGGTGACAATGAGGATGTTGGTGATGATGGGTATGACAGTTGTCATGAGTGTGGTGGTGTTGTGGATGATGATGATGATGATGATGATGATGATGATGATGATGATGATGATGATGATGATGCTGATGATGATGATGATGATGATGATGGTGGTACTGATGACGTCGATGAATATGATGATGACGCTGGTGATGATGATGGTGATGCTGTTGGTGTTGATGGGAATATTGACGCTGCTGGTGTTGATGCTGGTGATGATGGTACTTGTGCAAACGATGGTGGTGATGATGATGAGGAGGAACAGCAGGAGGATGGTGATGTTGACGGTGATGATGCGGAGGAGGAAGAAGAATGTGATGGTGATCGTGCTCATTGGAACGGCCTCCGGGAAGGGCCGCCGATCCGGGGGGGTCCGGATTCGGTGATCTTCTCGGCTATGTGGCCTCTTCCCTCCTCGATATGCGCCAATCATCATGAAAACGACAGATGGGGGACCCCCTCTCCCCTCCCCCCCTTCCCCTTGGAAAGTCCCGGGAGGGTTCCGAGGCGGCTAGATCTGAGGTGGGGCCCTGGGTCCCCCCGAAACATGTTGGGGATGCGCAAATCATTCAGAACACGCCAGATGGGGGACCGTCCCCCCCCTCTCCCCCCCCTCCCCGGCAAAGCCACCCTAGCGGCCCCCCCAAGCAGAGCTGAAGCTTTTGCATAGGCTCAGAGCTGAAGCACTCGTAGTTCACACGCTTGATCGGCGGATCTGTCGTGATGGTGCTGACGGTGATGATGGTACGGATGGTGGTCGTGACGAGTGTGATTGTTTTGGTGATGCCGATGATGAGGTGGATGAGTGGTGAGACGGAGGATGATGAGGGGGAGGACCATGAGAGGCCGGCGAGGCAATGAGGAGGAGCAGGAAAAGCAGGCTGACGAAGACACCGAGGAGGCGCGCGAGGAGGCGCACGAGCGGCAGCAGCGGTCGAGGACGAGGAGGAACATCAGCTCGTCGTCGTCGTCGTCGTCGTCGTTGTCGTCGTCGTCGCCGTCGTCGTCGTTGCCGTCGTCGTCGTCGTCGGTGGAGCCAGCGCGAGAACCGCGCAGGACGTCCGCGCCATGATCGACCAGAGCGCCCTGCTGGCCCTGCGCGCCGCGGAGCAGGCCCGCGCGGTTCGCGCGTGCGCGCGTCGTGCCGCTGCTCCCCGCGTGGTGCCCTCGGGCTCCGCTGTGGGTCCCTTCTCCTTCCCCCATCCTCACTCGCTCCCCCTGCGGGGTGCCATTACTTTGTTCATAACGCTTGGCTTGTTTTGCCATTTTCATGCCTTCCATGTCTTCATCCTTCATCATCCGTCCCTACTCGTCTCGTCATCCTCCTGATCCTTTTCCTTCTCCGTACAGTGCCGTTTTTGATACATGCTCCGCGTGCGGATCATGTGTTAAAAAATGCAGTCATGTATGAGAAATCCTATATTTTTAAACATCCCATGTATTAAAAACTGCCCTGTAGCCATTGTGGCTCAAGCGAGCCTGGCGTTCGGGAGGCCCTCGCGCGGCGCGCGCCCGTCGGCTCTTCGGGCGCGCGCCAGCGGCCGCGGCATAGAGACTTGCCCTGCACCCTGCGGGGCGCCGCCAGGTGCGGCGGCGCCCAGCAGGAGGAGGAGGAGGAGGAGGAGGAGGAGGAGGAGGAGGAGGAGGAGGAGGAGGAGGGGGAGGACTTCGCCAAGCAGCGGGCCGCGGTTTTCGCTCGCACTCTCGCCCGACGCCCTCGGCGAGAGTAGCGCAGGATGGAAGCTGGCGCAAACGCGTGCCCAGGCCCTGCACCGACGGGGGGCCATCTGGTGCCGTGCACTGGTCTGTGGGCGTCTGGCACTGGTCTGTGGGCGATCGCGTCGGCGGACACGAAGCCTCGTGGCCGCAGCAGCGCGGGGCGCGCAGCTGCTGGGGCCGACGGAGCTGGGGGAGCTGGCGCCGGAGGCCGCGACCCACGCCCACTGGGCTAGGCTTAAGTAAGGCGTGTCCCCCTACAGGGAGATTTTCGACGAAAAATACAAAATACCCCAACAAATACCCCAAAAAGGTGAAACAATAGTAAACAAATAGTCCCCAGACTATTTCTGGATTATTTTTTATTATTTTTGGTGTATTTTTTATATTTTTCGTCGAAAATCCCCCTGTAGGGGGACAGGCCCGGCTTAAGGCTAGGCATGCCCCCCCCCCGCCAGGCCTGTGTTCCCTGGCTGCAGCGCCCGTGGGCGTCCGGCACGCCGTCCGCGAGAATTTCCGCGCGTGGCGGCACGGCGCCGAGGGCCAGCACTCCGGCGTCCTTCTGGCGGCCCTCGGAGCTCTTTCGGAGTCCGAGGGCGGGAAGTCTGCGACCTGTCATCCTGTTTTCCCCATGGAGCTGCTCGTGGCGACCTCTCTCTTCACGGGCTCCCTGCTCAAGCTGACGCTCGTCCTGGCGACCGCTTCCCTGGTGGTACTGGCGCTCATCAGGCCGCCGGTCGTCGTGATCCAGATGCAGCCCGACCTGAACTCCTTCCTTCTCAGGGGGCCGATCCTCTTCATGGTGCTCTGCCTGAGTTCCCTCATCAAGTTGCTGATCGTTTTGGCGATGTTGGAGGCAATGTTTTTGATGATCCTCAGGCCGTACGTCCACTTCTTCGTAATGAAGTCTTTCGCGCTTCTGGTGATGAAGCCATACATCACACCCTACGCAATGGCGATGGTGCTCATGGAGTCTGGCCTCAACCCCGCCTGGCTGCCCACGGAGGCGATGAAGGCCGTTGTATTCCTGGTGGTGCTGATGCTCATCAGGACCTCGATCTCTTGGAGCCAGGTGCAGCCCGACCTGAACCCCTTCGTGGTCACGGGGATGTTTATGTTCATGGTGATCTGCCCGAGTTCCGTGTTGAAGTTGCTGATCGTGTCGGCGACGCTGTTCCTGGTTCTGTACCGCAGTCGCGCGACGGCTACGTGAAGGAGTTATTGTTCGGACGATAACCCAAGGATGTAATAAAATAAATCCTTTGCCTCCCTCCCTCCTTCCCCCCTCCCTCCCTGCCTTCCTTCCTCCCTCCTCCTTGCCTCCCTTTCCTCCTGCTCCTCCTCCGCTCCTTCTCCTCAAAGATAGCATCTCCCCGTCGCGCCCCGAGGCCAGTTTTTAGGGCGGGCCGGGCGTTTCGCGTGAAACTTCCTCACCTCTTGTGACTCTGAAGTTGAAAAGGTGACAACAGCTTCACAGATGGAGGGCGGGTCGTTTTCAAAATGTGGCTCTCGCCTCAGCGCCGCGCACATTCGTTTACAAAATTCGCAAGACCTTGACGGATTGAGGGCGGCTCGTTTTCAACATGTGGCTCTCGCCTTAGCGCCGCGCACATTCTTCTTCAAATTTTACAAGAGCTTCACGGATTGAGGGCGGGCCGTTTTTCAACATGCGGCTCTCGATTCAACGCCGCGCGCGTTCGTTGCACAAATGTACACGAGCTTCACAGATTGAGGGCGGCTTCTTCTCAAACTATGGTTCTCGCCTTAGCGCCGCGCACGCGCCGCGCACATTCGTTTTCAAAGTTTGCAACAGCGTCACGGATTCAGGGCGGAGCGTTTTTCAACATGTGGCTCTCGTTTTAGCGCCGTGCACATTCGTTGCCAACAATTGTAATAGCGTCACGGATTGAGGGCGGGACGTTTTTCAACATGTGGCTCTCGCTTTAGTGCCGTGCACATTCGTTTTCAACAATTGTAATAGCGTCACGGATTGAGGGCGGGACGTTTTTCAACATGTGGTTCTCGCTTTAGCGCCGTGCACATTTGTTTTATTCAAACTTTGTATGAGTGTCACGGATTGAGGGCAGGACGTTTTTCAACATGGGGCTCTCGCTTTAGCGCCGTGTACATTCGTTCTATTCAACCTTTGCATGAGTGTCACGGGTTCTCATGATCAACGTACCACAACAGGTGTTTTGAAAAGGTTCAGGATTTTGCAGGTGCTACAGTTATGTTGGTTCGCTGTACGAAGTCCCAAAATGACCCGGTGGCACCAATCCAGATTGTCACAACGCAGGAGTCTTGTGGATACGTGGCGTTGACATCCCGAGAACAATGTGTTGGCATTCTTTCAGGATCTGAAAACGGTTGTCTTCCAACGAGGCAGTTCCTTCAACGGAATGAACCTGTTGTGGGGGCAAGGACGAGGGAATTTGGAGGGAGGGTTCGTTCCAACATCGTTGATGACCCTTGGGTTTACACTGCTCCTCCTCCGCCTCCTTTTCTTCCTCCTCCCTTTTCCTTTTTTTCCTCCCTCCCCTCCCCCTGCTTCGTTGCAGTCTGGGTTCCATGCGCCGCGCAGCGCCTGCCTGCCAGTCTCCGAACTTCAGCGAAACGTACGTCTGAACCGACGCTCCGATTCGAGCGGCGGTGGCGAATGTGGGGCGAATCATCATGGGCCGCTCTTCATCGCGCAGCTGCGCCACGGACGGTAATCACATTCGCTGTGCCGTTGGGTGGTCGGCGTGCCGCAGATGCAAGACGTACAAAAGGGTGCAACAAGTGGGGAGCGGACAACTGGCTCTGCGCGTGCGGCAACCAGGTGAAGCAGCATCGTTCGTCCTTCCGTGGCCGGGTTGTCGGCGAACAGGGCAACGGCGCGACAAATTCCGTCGCGAAGACGGGCGACACCGTGGAGGCAATCACGGATTTGGTTGGTGATGTTCCTCCGCAGCGTGTTAGGCAGCTTTTGCATCGACCATTTCCCGTGCGGCAGCATCGGCGGCCAGCGCTGTCCCACCTCCAGATTCAGGATTCATGGGAGTGGAACAAACAGAGACGCCAACCGCAGGCATGGTGCCAACATCGAAGCCGTCGCTCGCCTGAAAAAGCAGCTCGCCGCCGCCAGGGAACGCCAGGTAGCCTTGGCCGCGCAGTTTGTCGAGGCCACCGGGGCTAAACAACTCACGGCCACCGCCATCGCCAAGCTGTCGAGATCCGGCGCGGGCGCCGGGACTGCCGATGTTCCCACCGGCGGAGGCTGCCAAGCAAGCCCGACCAACCCCCAATCCCCAAGGGCTACTAGCTATCAACTTGTTCTGGGACGACGCGATTTTCGAGGACATGAGTGAGCTGGAGCCCTCCGAGTAGCAGCAGGTGGCGGATTTTCAAAGGTCTTTGAAGGAACAGACGGCAAGTTGCCGGGCGTGTCGATCGAGATTAAGACCACAGTCGAGGCGGCTCGCGCGCTGGCGACGGCGCAGGCGTACCGCATCGCCACGAAAGCGGCGTGGTGGCGCTGACGGGCAAGTGCAGGCAGGCGCCGGCGACGTCGCTGCCAATTGCCCGGGTGCGCCGGGCGAGGCCACGCAGGGCCCGCACAGGGTTGCAGCCAGCAGCCAAGGTAGAAACACCCGCGCCCCCTCCTGGTGGCGCCGCTGGCGGCGGGCCCGTGTGACCTGCCGTGGGCGCCAGCGCTGCCAACGCCAATGTCCCATGCGCGATTTAGCTTGTGGGGATAGGAGCCAGTGCGTCCATTTTGTATCAGTTGATGGATTGCCTTTTCGTGTTCCCGGAGGCTGCAGTAGTGACGAGCGACGTTGTGGGGTTATCGGCTCAATTGCTGGCGCGCGTTGCATGTTCTTCGCAAGTATAACATGCGTGGCCCCCCAGGCGTTGAGCGACGTCAAGTCGCGCGGCGGCTATTTGACGCGATGGGCTTCGTTGAGGACCGCGCCCGCGGGGAGAAGGGTATGGTCAAGTGGTGAAGGGTTGCCAATTTTTCCCGCCACCGCTCGACCCCGGCCCAGGTCCGCAGGGAACGAGGGGGGCGAGTGGGCCATGCGCCGACGGCCGTGCCACGTTCATGCGGCGGTTGGCGCCTTTGTTCCTGCGCCTCGGCAGCATCGGGCGCCGGGAACGGCCGCCCTCGGCCAGCCCCGCGCTGCGGTGCCGCGCCATCGCGGATTTTGCTCTGCATGTTTTGTTGTGTGTGTTTGTGTTTTGGTTGGTTTTTATTTTTTTATGGACGTGCTGGAGTTGGTTGGCGAGATGCGACTGGGGCCGTCGCGCCCGGTTGAGAGCCCCCCTCGTCGCCCTCAGGTTGCCCTGCGTTCTTCCGGCAAAGTTCAACGTCGACAACGAGCCCCTCTACATCGAAGGTTTCGCGAAGCGCGCGCAGGGTCGGGTCTTGAAGGCGGGCGCGGCCACGGGCCAACACCTTTGACGAAAGCAAGCTCGGGTCGCACATCGACTGGCATGTGCTCGGGGAGCTGCGGCCCATTCGCCGTCGGCATCCGCGCGGGGCGCGAACCTGGGGGAAGACCCCCTGCGGCCTCCTGCCGGCGCCGATCGGGCGCGGGCCCGGGAGCTCATCTCGAGGGGTTCGCGCATGACCCCCCGATTCACGAGACGGATCGGCCCCGACTTTTTCGCGCCAGGGCCGGCGATGCACGCCGGTCGCCAGCCGCCCGGAAGATTGGCGCAGGCGTCGCGCCCACATGGGCAGAGAACTCCCGGGCCATGTCCCATTCGAAACGCGCGGCCTCCCCGCCCAGCGTGGATCGACTTCGGCGACGCGCGGGGCTCGGACGCCTCGGCCGTCGACTCCGCCGACAAGGCGGGCGATGAGTTTGCGCGCTGCGAGCTCGGCGAGTCTCAGCGAGCCAGTCTTCGACGACGGCTCTGGCCGCGTCTGGCTCCGCCGTTCGGCGCTTTTGCTGCGCGCCCCCCTCTCCGCGGGAAGGATGCGCCGTCGGCCGACGCGGTGCGGGGCGTGGGCCGCCGCGTCGCGCCTCTTCCTGGACCTTCAACGCCTTCGAAGTCTTCGCCCTCGAAGCGCGCGTCGCTAGGCATCCCCAGCTGGCCTCCTGTTCAGTTGCAGGCTTTGGCTCGCGGACCTGCAGAGCATGGCGCAGCGCGCGCGTGCGATTGCTGGGCGCGGCCTGTGCGCGTTTCAGCAGATAGTCAGGTTTTTCTTCCCGGTGTGAGTCTGACCCATCTGCGGCGCCTGGGGCGGGCCCGGGCTCTTTCGACGATCCCGAGCTCGATCGCCACGCGGACGTTGAGGCGTCCGATCATTTGGAAGTGGGCACCTGAATGTCTGGAAGCACGCGCAGGTCGACGGGGCCGCGCCCCGTCTGAGGCCGCGCGCTGTCTTGCGCGCCCATATCTGGCGAGGCGCCATTCCTGGGCAGCGGCCGATGCCCTCGTCAGCGCCAACCGCCGTCGAGGTCATAGCAAATCCGCGTTCACCTCGGCCGCCACTTCGCCTCCGCCCTCTGTCCGCGAGGCCCCGCCCCTATGCTCGCCGCGGGATGCCGACCGCGGAGCGGCCCCCGAGGTCGCAGTCGTCGCCGCGGACGGCTGCCCCGAGGCCGCGCTGCAGATTGAGCGCGGGGGGGGGGGGGGGGGGCAATGAACGTGGATCCGCCAGTTATGATTTTTGCCCCCGGACCTCCGAATGATGGGGGAGCTGATTGGGGGGCGGCGGAGGCGGCGCCCGACGCGGCAGGCTCGCCCCCGTTCTGCCCGAGCGATGACGCGCGGCGGCAGGCGCGGTCCGATTTCTCTTGCAGTCTTGCGCCGTGGCAGGCCGCGGAGGAGCCCGTCGTGCGCCGCGTCAGAGTCGGCGACGTTGCTGCCCTCGGTTTCGCGCGCAGCAGATGGGCGCAGCAGGCCGCGCGCGCCATCCAGCTCCACCGCGACGATCAACCTGGGACGCGCAGACTCTTCACGCAGCAGTGCGAGCGCGCGGCCTCGGGGGCACGCTTGCCAGCCGATGGGGCCCCGGAGCAGCGGTGCCCGATCGTCTGGTTGCCTGGCGGAGTCAGACGGCGCACTCCTTCGTGCGCTGGCTGGCGGGAGGAGGGCACGCAAGGGGGGCTGGCGGCGCAGGCGGCCCCGCCAGCGGGTGCACGGCGCATCCCACCAGGACGCGGCCTCCTGCGGCGGGGGGGGTGGCGCGTGTTGCTGGGCGTCTGCAGCAGACTCCGAGGATTCCCCCATTTGTGGAAAGGGGCCGCGTGAGCCAGCATCAGGGTTCGCCCCAGGCAATTTTAAGTTGCAGTGGGTGGTGACGTTGTTCCAGATAGCCCAAGCGGAATGGTCGTGCTTAGAGGCCCTGACCGAGCTTGCGATACAGCTGGCGCCAGCCGTCGCTGCGGCCGCAGAAGCCATGACCGCTTCAAATGAAAAAAGGGTTGCGGGGCAGGGATCCGGCAACTCAAGGGGAGTGCTGCGGGCCTTGCGACCAGGCACACTGCAGGAGGTCACGCCGGACCGTGCCGTCCGTTCCCAGGTTGCTGGTTGGTCCCTGGCTGGCGGGCCTGAGCTCCCTCCACATTGTGACAGCACCGCTGGCGGGGATGAGTGTGGCTTGGGCCAGCGGCTCGGGGGGAGTGTTGCGGCCTAGCGCCCAGGCACGGGTGGCGTGCGCTCCCGAATCGCTCCGGGTTGTTGGCGAGCCCCGCCTGAATGCGGTGGCTGGCGTGTTGGAGAGTTTCTTCCACCCAGTCCTCGGCACGCTCTGAGGGCCGTGCCGTGCCATGCCCCCCGCGCCGCGCGTCGGCTTGCGGGTTCGCAGACTGCTCCTTTCCTCCATCTGTCAGCCCCGACAGCTGGAACAACATTCGCAAAAGGACCCCATCCCCAATAGAACAGGGCCACCCTTCTGTCTGACATTTCCAGCGCGCTCTCGGTGTGCAGGTCCGCGGCAATTCTCCAATGTCCTCCATCCCCAGCTTCCTCTTCCGTCGCTCTCCCCTTTTGCTCGTGCTCGTCCTCCTGATCTTGACTTTCCTTCGCGCTTGTCTCTCTTCCCTCCCTCGTCCACCCCTCCTCGCCGCTACCTCCCATTGCCTCCCTGCCACATCCTGCTTTTGCGACCGACTGCTTCGGACCGCTCGTTTCCATTATCGTCCCTGCCTTTCTTTCGCCCCCCCGCCGAGGGCTTTTGACGCCGAAGACGTCGTCGTCCTCGTCCTTGTGGTCCTCGTGGCACGCAGCCGCCGCTCAGAGAAAGACCCGCGGTGGCCGCAGGCCCGCCTGGAGACTGCGCTCGCGGGCTCCTCGCGGACGATCGCGCCGGCCGCCCAGGCGACCCGGCGAGCGCCCCGGCGGGGGCCACCCCCCCACTCCCTGCGGCGTTCTTTCTCCTTCCTTGCTCCATTCCATTTTATGAGTCAAGGGGCCCAATGACACACAAATAAATACACACAGATAAGATGATCCCCCATATTTTCCCATATTTTATGTGTTTTTGTCTTCCCGCCCACTTCCCATATTTTCCTATATTCTCTGGGAAATCGAGGATTAATTGTGTCTGTGTGTTTCTTTTCCTCCTGAATGAGTGATTCTTCCCGGTCGCACCCCGAGGCCGGTCGAAAGGGCGGGCCAGGCGTGTCGCCTGAGACTTCCTTACCACTTAAGTGACACTGAAGCTGAAAGTTGGACAACCGTTTCACAGATGGAGGGCGGGCCGCTTCCAAAATGTGGTTGTTGCCTTAGCGCAGCGCGCACTCGTATTACACAATTACAGCATTGTCACGAATTGAGGGCAGTGTGTTTTCAAAATGCTGCTCTCGTCTTAGTTCCGCGTGCACTCGTCATACCAATTTCCAAGAACTTCACGGATTGAGGGGGGGGGTCAGCATCTGGTTCTCGCCCTAGCGCCGCGCACATTCATTTGATAACAAGCCAGAAGGTTCACTAATCGAGGGCGGTTGGCTTTCAACATGTGGCTCTCGCATTAACGCCGCGCGCACTCGTCTTAAACATCTGCAAGAGGCTTTGTGGTGGTGGTTTTCAGATTGTGGCTACTGTCTTAGGGGCGCGCGCAGTCGCTTTGGACACCTGTAAGAGTTTCACGGGTTTCCCAGTGTCCACGTGCCACAAGTTGTGTTTTGGACGGATTCGGGACTGGCAGGGCGCAACAACTACACCGAGTCTCGGTGCTGACATCCCAGGAAAGGCGTTGTGGCACGATTCGTGATCGTCCAGACGCAACAGTCAGGTTTGTTCGTGGCGCTGAAGCACGGAATGTGGTTCTGGCACGCTTCACCATCTTCGAACAGTTGTCCCCGAACGGGATACTTACCTTTGTGGGAAGGAATGTCTGTAGGGGCCCATGAAGAGGAAGCTTTGGAAAGGGTTATTGCAACCTCGTTGATGCGTCTTGGGTTTACTTTTGTCCTCTTCCTCCTCTTCCTCTCTCCTTTCCGCCTCCCCCTCCATGCACAATGACTATGCGTCCGAGCGGCGGCCAGTTGTCGGATGAGGGTCCCCGTTCGGACAGGGGCCCTCTCTCGGGGTGCGACGCGCCCGCGCCCATCCCCGTGGCGCAGCTTCGACCCGCGAGGCGAGGGCCGCCCCCTCCCCCACCCCTTCAGGCGTGAGGGTGTGTTGTCCGCTCGCCAGGGAGGGGGAGACGGGGGGTCTGGTGTTGCTAGCATCGGTGGCGAGCGACGGGGGGAAGCGAGAAGGGGCGGGCCTTCTCAGAAGGCTCGGAAGTCCCCCCGGCCTTCTGAGAAGTTTTCTACGGTTTCCCCGAAGACAGACAAACACTTCTCAGAAGGCGCGAGGGGTTCTGTGAAGTCCCGCCGCCTTCGCCTTCTGAGAAGGCCTTCTCCTTCTCACTTCCCCTCCTCGCTCGCCGCCAATAGAAGTGCCCATGGCCCGAGGTGCGCCCAGGACTTCGAGGGAGGCCCCGCAGGATTCCAGAGCACCCCTCGCGAGGCCCTCTGGGCCCTGGAGCTCTAACGTGGGGCGAGAAGCTGGTAGTATCTTGGGCCAGGTGCACCTTTGGCAACCCCCCAAGGGGGGGAGGGAGGATCGTACATACAAGAGAGGGAGGGGGGGGGGGGGGCACCGCCCACCAGGGGAAGCCGCGCGAGAGGAGGCGGCCAGCCGAGAAGGCAGAGGGGGCGGGGGCGCTTCTCAGCACGAGGGCCTGGCGGCGCGTGAAGCACACGCGCTTTCCCCCAGGGCAGGGCCTTTCCGAAGGGGCCTCAAGAGGCAGAGCCTTTCCTAGGAGGGCCACTTGCCTTTTTTATGCCCCCTCCCGCCTTGTCAGAGGGCCGCCCTCTTTGCGAGAAAGAGGAAAAGGAGGAGGAGGAGGAGGAGGAGGAGGAGGAGGAGGAGGAGGAGGAGGAGGAGGAGGGGGAGGAGGGGAGGGTGAGGGATCTGGAGGGAGAGGGAAGACGAGCGAGTGAGGGAGAGTCAGGGAGGCTAAAGAGGGGAGGGACGCAGGGAGGGAGGAATGGATGGAGGGAGAGAGGAATGATGAGTTTGATGTTGATGATGGTGATGATGATGATGATGAGGAGGAGGAGGAGGAGGAGGAGGATGATGGGGAGGATGAGGAGTAGGAGGAGGAGGAGGAGGAGGAGGATGCTGGTGGTGATGAGGAGGAGGATGATCCGCATGGTCGCAAAATGTGGTCATGACGGCGATGATGAGAA